CTTCACCTCCTTTGTAACTTCATCTTCATGGGATCTTAGAATTCTCACAAGCTTTGCCAAAGAATAACTCTTGAATTGTTCATGTGCCTTCACAATGGACACAATCGCTTTCCATTCTGACCTACGACCATTCATAAATGTCACTTTTGTTCAATGACCCATCACTTAAGATTATATTTGAGCATTCTACTAAGAAAATGGTTGAAGCGATTAAACGTTTGATCAAGCTTCTCATCAGGTTTCTAAACACATGCGCCAAAGTCAGGTAGAAGAGTTGTTTGTAAAGAGTGTTATAGATTTGCATCTCTAGAATACAACTCCTTCAATCTATCCTATATTTACTTAGCAGTAGTACATGAACTTACGAGACAAAAGGTATCTGGTGGAAAAGCAAACCGTATAATTTTCGTTTCCTGTATGTTTCTCAATAACTTATCCTTTTCATCATGACGAACATTAGTGTGTTCAGAAAGAAGTACATTGTAATCAGCCTGAGTCTTGATAACCTTCTTGGTTGCAGTGTGGGAACAAATCTCCTGAGTTATCACATGTTATATAGTTGAATCGTGCTCTTCAATACTTAGAACATAGTCTTCAAAATGCAACGCCCAGACTTCATAATCCCGAGAGAAAAGGATTTGAATCCTGGTTGTGGATCCAATATTACTAGAGAGATTGAACGATAAAGTATGACGATCTTTGTTCTGCATGATGTCAAAGATTCACAAAAACACGGATATAGAATCAGATGTGTAAAGCGAAACTTCGAGTTTTAGGGTAAAAATCAAATTTTTAGATATGACATCTACAATCTATAGAAATGATAGAGACAACAAGAACAAATCCTATAAAACCAAAAAACCCTAATCAAACTCGACAAAAGAGTAATTACTGAGCTACACTATTTCCTGCTCTATTACCAATCATTGAGACCATAATTACTAAGATAGATAGATTCTATAGTGTATAACGTGAATTGAATGACAAGAATAATGATCAAAATAGTGTTGAATGCTTTAATTATAAAAGATCTAGAAAATTTCAATGAGAATTTCTCTGTAAGAGTTAGGTATGGCGACAAAATGATCAACCTTAATTGAAACATGCATGCACATTATATAGTCTAACTCTAGGAAGGCAAAGACCATGAATGCACAAGCCCAAACTGGTAAACAAGACTATTCTATCACATACATTTGGCATAATACATTTAAAACCCAACAGTTACCAACTATATGTTTGCATTTATCATTATAATTATTTCACATTTTGTTTTCTAATTTTTTTATAATTTTAGTTATTAATTAATACCCTATTGTTTTTATTTATTTTGATTTAAGTGATGATAAAAAATACAAAAAAAAAAAAAA